CTGACAGCTGCTCCTCTGTCCCCCTTTTCCAGACTATATCTTGGGGCACTAGGTCCTGGGCCAGTAGCCTTGGTGGAAAGTGTGGGGAACCCCATGTCTTCCCTTTGGCTCAGGGGGCTCCCAGTACTTCTTAGGACCCCAGGAGGGGAGAGGTGGCTAATGGGAAGCAATCAGCAGAGCCTACTAGAGCCCAAACTCTGCCCTTTCCCCCCACCATCCACCCTACTCATTTGAGGTACTGGAAAATCAGAGGGATGTGGGGTACCCGAGGTGAGGACAAGACATAGCCTTGTCTTCAGAAGCCCCATCTATTGGGAAGTCAGGCTGCAGACTGGAGGTCCCCAGGGCAAGGCGTCAGAGTCACCTGCACAGATAAGAAAAACAGTGGGTGGGGGAAGTAGGCTCCCTAGAGGCTGAACCAAAAAGTCAGCCCACAGGAGGTGAAGCTGGGGTGGGGAAGTGGGAGGAAGCAGAGTGGCAGGGCAGCCACTGGTGAGGGAAAATTGAGACCCCACTGGAGAGGAGGATCCAGACCTGGCGGGGAAGATTCTCAGGGTTCAGGCAGGGGAGAGGGGAAAGAGGAGGAAAGAGAGGAGGAGCCAAGGGCAGGTTCCTCTCCCGGCCCAAAGCAGAGCCAGGATTCCAGATCGGGTGGGGAGAGGGGTGGGATCTCTCCCTGAGTGATCTCAGGATCACTCAAGGATCCTGAGTGGCAAGCCTCTCCCCACCCCCAGGTCCTCACACAGGAGGCATCTGGGAACCACCCACGCATGTCTGGCACCTCCACGGGGGTCCCAACACCAGAGCCAAGGCGCACAGAGGAGGAGCTGATGTTCTGAAGGGCCCAGCTGCCCCAAACCCCCACAGCTTGGCTCCCCAGCTCCTCTAGTTGAGAGGTTGAGACTCTGTTCATTCATCCTCAAGCAGGAGAGACCAAGGCTAGACTTGGATGACCCGAGAGGCTTGGTCTGAGCCCTGGGGAGCCAGAGGGGTCCCAGCTGCTGCCACGGAGGAGGTCAGATGACAAATGACATCAGCTCACCTTCAAAGTAGGTCCAGAAAGCAGACCCATCTCTGCCATCCTGGTCATCTTTCACCCTGCGAGGGCCTGCTGATCCCACCCTGGCCTCCACTCCTTAAAATCAGTTGAGGACAGAATGCCTGAGTAAGCTCAGACCCTCCCAATCTGCTCAAAATCCCCAAGTTTCCCATCTCACCTAAAGTCCTTGCACTGCCACTATCCCAACCTCCACACACCGATCTCAACTTTCCCCAAAACATTTATCTAATACACTATAGAACTGACTTGTATATTATATCCATGCCTTACCATCCACTCCTGTGACCCCACTGCCTAGAACAGTGCTGGACATAGAACTAATGCTTGATAAATATTGGTGCAATGAATGGATGAGGGCACATGGATTCAAGTCCAAGCCAACTCGTTCGCTGTCAGACACTGGAAAAAAATCATCTAACCTCTGTGAACCTCAGTTTTCTCATCTGTGAAGTGGAACAATAAGGATCACATCACCACCCCCTCCCCCGAAATACTGAAAAAGCAAAATTTGAGGCCAAGATGTTGGACTGTTGCCTGGGCTGGGGGAAGAATGCAGCCACCGTTTTGGCAGGAAAAGCTTTGATAGGGGTCAGCGACTCCGGAAAGGGGCGGTCCAGTCTACAGGCAGGGGGCCTACACACCTCAGAATTCCCCAGGCTGGAGACGCTCCCTAGCCTTCACTTATTTTAATGCAGTGCAGGCACTGGCTGGGGAGGGAGGGAGAGGGTTTCTTGACTGGAGTGGGGGGGAAATGGGTGGGGCAATTTAGATCTCTGTTAGGTGGGATTCATTCTGAATGGAGTCCTGGGCAGGAGATCGGGTGTGGCGGGCAGGAAATGGGGGCGGGGCTCTCAGAGGCAGAGGTGAGGTAGGGGGCGTGTCTGCTCCCCTTTCCCCACTCCACCCCACCCCACCCCCCCCGGCCCAGACCTCAAAGACTGGAGGAGTGGGCGCTGCCCCTTCTCTGAAGAGCTCTGTAAGTTCCGGAGTTGAGGATTAGGGGCAGGGAGAGTGCCTAACAAAACGCCCAGGATCCGAATTCCGCTCTCGGAGCGACGCCCAGGTAGGTACAGGGGAGGCCAGGGGGCGGAGCTGTCGCGGCTTGTTCTCAGCTTAAGAAAGAGGTCTCTGGGCACTGACCGCCCGCCACCCACCCCCCCATCCGCCTCAATCCCCACCCTATTCAGGCTACCTGAGTCCAGATGCTGAGATGGAGACCTCTTGTCTTCGTCCCCCGGCCGGGTGCTTCCTCGAGAGGGCGCCCCCTTTCCTCTCCGCCGCAGGGCGGAGGCGGAGCCTAGACCAATGCTGCCCGCGCTCTCAGGGCTGGAGGGAAAGGGGAGGAACGGGGACCCCCCCCCAGGGGAGGCGCCCGGGGCGAACGCGGCGGGGCGTCTCCCTCGCAGGCCCGCCCCCCGCCCCCCGCCCCCCGCCCGCCCCTCCGGCCGCCTCTGCCGCCGCGCGCCGCAGCAGCGCCGCCTTCCCTGCGCAGTCGGTGTCTCCGCGTCGCTGGGTGAGTGGGGGCCGCTGGGCCGGGGCTAGGGGGTGCGAGGAGGGAGCATCCCGGAGGCGGGGGGCCACGTCCTGGACACATCAACCCTGCCGCTCCCGGGCCGCCCAGGAATTTTCCCTCGGGGGAGCCAGGTAGTGGGTCTGCCCCAGGGAAACGCGCGGAGCTCTCCAGGGTCCTGACCGCCGAGTGGCCAGCCTGGAGCGGCGTTTCGGCCGCCTCGGGACGCCCCCTCTAGGAGGGGCCACGCGCCCGGCGCTCTCTCAGAGCTGAAAGGATTGAGGCGAGGGTCAGGGCGAGAACTGGGGAGAGGTTTGGAGAGGGTCTCCGAGGCGGATTTCTTAGATTCAGCTTAGGTCCTTCCCATTTTGGGGGACTGGGGGTCTTCGCGGAGACCGCAGAACCTTCTGCCACCCTCGTTTCCAAGTCTTCCAACTGGGAGGGGGGCAACTCTGAGGGTGGCAGGGAGGAGGGGGCACTGGAAGATCTTTCCTGCCCAGCGCATCTCTCTGCCCCCGCTCAGATGACCCAGTTCCTTGGACCTTGAGGAGGGGACTGGGGGACACACTCGGCCGCCCTGGCCCCAGGCATTTCCTCCGTGCCCTCCCACACACTTGTTCAGTGGGTCCACAGCCTGGGGCAGAAAAGGCTGATTTAGAAAAGAGGGCCACCAACTTACAGGAACATGCGTGTGACACGCTGCTGAGGACACACTTAGGTCCTCCAAATGGCCACACAGGCACATCCTCCTCACACTGTGATGGGTGCACACCTAGTCACACGCTCACATATGCACATGCACAGATATGAACTGAAACATGCAGGGAGACAAATGCAATGCAGAAGCCAGGGACAGACATGCATGCATGAGCACACGCACTCACACATGCTCATACATAAGTGCACATGCACACACAAGGAACCCCCCTCCCCTTTGCTCTATCTCACAGCCCCAGGCTGGGGGGGGGGGTGAGATTCACCTGCATACACCCCCACATCCCTGCCCAGAACTGCCTGGCTGCCTCCTCTCCAGCACCTTCCCCTTAGCCCTCCACAGTCTAACCTCTTGCACTGAGGGAACCTTTCTGAACTAGATGAAAGGTAAGTGTTGGGGGATGGTTGACTGGCTAGGGGTCTCCCTGGAACAAGGGACCTTCATAGGTCTGAGAAGGGTTGCAGCTCCCTTTCCTGGCACCTGGCAGCACCCCTGGGTAAAGAAAGAAAGATGGCAAGGGTGTCTGAGGGTCCCACGTGCAGCTGGCCATGTGAGAGGTGTCGGCATGGGAGCTGGCTTATGATGCATTCATGAGACATGTGGGGTCGTGGGCTGGTGTGTCTTGATGCACAGGGTATGGGAATTGTGTGTGTGTGTGGTGCTGTGTCAGTACGTGTGAGCTGTGGAGCAGAGGGAATGTTGCTGTGTGTGGAGGCATGGTGACCCTGGGTGGGTGTGTGCTGGGTGCTGGCATGTGAGTGGCAGGGGATTTGTGTGTGGATTTGGTGAGCTCTTTAGCATAATAGACATCAGTATGTATTCATTTGTTTACTGTTGGCATCTGGATACCTGTAAATCTCTTTTATTTATTTAACACTTAGGTAGCACTTATATGTGCAGGCATCTAAGTTCTTCATATGTATTAACTAATTTAATCCTCACAACAATAATGAGGTAGGTACTATTACCCCCACATCACAGACAAGGCAGAGTTTAAGGAACTTGCTCAAGGTCACATAGGTGGTAAGAAGCAGAGCTGGGAAAAAAAAAAAAAAGAAGCAGAGCTGGAATTCAAACCCATGTGGTCCGGCTCTGGAGCTCAGGCTAACCTGTCTTGTTCTGCCTCTTGTCAAGCACACATGTGTGGGAGGGAGAACAGGTCAGTGTTTGGGTTGCAGGTATATTTTACATGAGCAGGTGTATGTGACGCAGTAGGGGGGTAGTGGGCAGGAGGGAGGAAGACCAGAGGGCCATTTTGCACCTGGTTGGCAACTCTGGGAGTTAGCACTGTGTCTCCATGGCTATGTGACCTGAACCAGGTCACCTCACTTCCTTGAGCCTACCTTTTCATCTGTAAAATGGGCTAATCGCTAGGCTTCACTTTGTGAGGGTGAAGTGGTGTACTCCTGGGAAGGCGTGGTAGCTGGCACTGATAAGGGCTTCAGTAAAAGTGAGCCCCTTCTCTTCCTCCGTCTCCGGGTCTGTTCCCTTCGGAAGTAGAAGGTCTGGGGAAATGGTGTGGGGCTGACAGAGTGCCAGGGTGCTTGGCAGGCTGTGCGATCTTGGGCCAACTCCCCTGTCTCTCTCCGGGTCAAAGGAGAGTCTGGGGTGGCGGGGGGCTTTCTTGGAGTGCTGTCAAAGGGCCAGGAGGGCCTGACTGCTCCTTTGTCCTCTGACCCCCCCCGGGGACCCAGGTGGGACTTGGCTCGGTGGCCATGGGCAAGCAAAACAGCAAGCTGCGGCCGGAGATGCTGCAGGACCTGCGGGAGAACACAGAGTTCTCCGAGTTGGAGCTGCAGGAGTGGTACAAGGGCTTCCTCAAGGACTGCCCCACGGGCATCCTCAACGTGGACGAGTTCAAGAAGATCTATGCCAACTTCTTCCCCTACGGTGACGCCTCCAAGTTCGCCGAACATGTCTTCCGCACCTTTGACACCAACAGCGACGGCACCATCGACTTCCGGGAGTTCATCATTGCGCTGAGCGTGACCTCGCGGGGCCGCCTGGAGCAGAAGCTCATGTGGGCCTTCAGCATGTACGACTTGGATGGCAACGGCTACATCAGCCGCGAGGAGATGCTGGAGATCGTGCAGGTGGGCCCCTGGACCCCTCAGAACGACAGGCACAGGCCCCAGCAGCTTGCACCGCCAGCCCTCTTTACCCTCCCGACAGTCCTTGTGGGTAGGCGAGTGGCAGGTGCTATTCTTATAGCCTATTTTAAAAAGTCTTTAATGGGAAGTAATTTCCGATTTAAAGAAAAGTTAAGAAAACTTCCGTGTACCCTTAACCCAACTTCACCAATGAACACTTATCACATCATTGTGTGTGTGTGTGTATATGTGTGAGATGTTCTGTTGTTCTGAACATGACCCTCCACCCCTGAATACATCAGGATAGATTTCCTAAGAACAAGGACGTTCTCTTACATAACCCATAATATGATTATCAAAGTCAGGATGTTTAACATAGAAACAATGTTAGTATCTAACTTACAGACACATTGAATTCTGCCAGCTATCTCAATAATGTTCTTTATAGCATTTTTTCCTCTGCCCCAAGATCACACATTGCATTTAGTCATCCTGTCTCTTTAGGCCACTTCAATCTGTAATAGTTCCTCAGCCCTCCTTATTCTTTCAAGACTTGACATTTCTGCAGAGTACAGGCCAGTTGTGTTTCATTGATCCCAACTTATTCAGGAGGAAACGGATGCTCAGAGAGGTAAAGACATTTGCTTGAGATCACACAGACGTGAATGGGCCACCTGGCTCTGTCGCCCACATTCCATCTGGATACCCAGCCATCTTCCAACTAATTGATTGAGAGCCCACTAAGAGCCTAGTACTGAGTGAAATCCTTATACCAATAAGCTCAGTGCATCCTTACAACAACCCCATGAGGCTCAGAGAGGTGAAGTTGCTTGCCTAACGTCACACAGCATGTACGTGGAGTCAGGTTCAAGTTGGCCAACACTCAGAGCTGCCTCTTTAAAGGAGTCAGACTTCCAATTCTGGAGTTGGCTTCAGCTCTTACATAGCTCAACTGTAAAATGGGGATAGTGAGGCACATCTCACAGGGTGACTTAAGGACCTGTTAGGAATGTCCTTTCTTAGTACAAATTTAAGTATAACATGTTAGCTTTATGTAAAAAATCTTCTAGAGTGCTCATTCCCTCAGCAACATTGAGGTCCATCAGAGATCTGGTTCTATTTTACCTAGTCAATTCCTTGTTCACTTTTCTCCTGAGCCTCTGTTTCTTCACCTGTAAAGTGAGGGTGTTAACCGCTACTCCCAAGGCTATTGTGGGTATAAAGCAAGATGGGAACTCTAGTAGAGGGCCTGGCATATATCTGGCTCTCGGTAAACGTTAGTAATTGTCAATTGTTGTTTTCTCTTCTGCACATTCTTCACTCCAGCTGGAGTGGCCTTTCCAACATCCTCAGAATGTGCCACTTTGTACAGGCTCTTGTTCCTTTTCCTTCTGTCTCTCTGAATCCCTTCCCTTCTGGCCCCTCAGTGCAGCTGACTGCCCCCCTCCCAACTCATCCAGCCTCTATTGGATTCTTGACTTTGGCTTCTGGGTCTGCTCTCTCCAGCTAGAATAGGATGAGCTGCCTTTGGATGTGGTATCTTCCCTATGTCTATTACTAGGGGAAAGCCTTAATGATTGTCAGTAACTCCCCTAGGCCAGGCAATAACTCTCTAGTTGATGGATAGTGGGGAGTTCTCGGGGTCCTGATGGAAGGGTTGGGGTAGCCAGGGTGGTAGAAGATCTCTCAGGGATTGGGCAGCAGCTCGATACCAACCAAGCCATGTGAATGTTCATGTTTTACCACATAGTGTGGTTGCACTGGTGTACACTAGTAAATCTCAGCCTTGCTGGAAGCTCCAAACCCAGGGCATTGGTCAAGCCAGCACCATTCTCTGGACATCCTCAGGACCCCTTCCAGACTGGCCTCTGCTATTTAGACAGACCCTGGTTTCTTTTACAGCAGGCCAGGGGCCCCAGACAGCCAGTGCAGACAGAACTCTGCAAACCTTAGTGACTGATTAATTATAAGTTGACTCCAGTGAAACAGTGAGTGAGCAGTAATTCCAGACAATTAATTAGGAAGCCCGAGAGAAGGCCAGTCACAGGGGAGCAGTCACTCTCTGAGTCACTCACTCAGTCCTTCTCAGGACCCAGCCCTGAGCCAGGTGTTAGGCATATTAGAAGGGAAGAGATCTTGCCTCAGTCTCTGGAGCTCCCACTCTGCTGGGAGAGACAACTGTGAAGGCCACACAGACCAGCTCAGTGACAGGGGTACAAAGATGACATTTGAGAGTCCAGGGGACTGAAGGGCAGAGAAGACCTGAGGATGTGGTGGATGAGTAATGATTATAGTATAAGCTGCTGTTTACTGACCACTTACTCTAGCCAACTATATACATTATCTCATTTAATACTCTGGACAGTACAAATGAGGGAGATATGATTACTCCCTGTTTTACAGATGAGGGAACTGAGGTTAGGTGCTTGTCCAAGGCTACAGAGCAAGTGATTAGTGGAACCAAGATGCTATTCCTGGTCAACCTTACTTCAAATACCCTGTTTTGAGGGGTCATTAGCACTCCAAAATCATCTATCCAATGACTAAGAGGGAGAGGGTTCTAATCTGGTCTCTGCCATCAGTTTCCTTTCTGAGCCTCAATTTCTTGTCTGGAAAATGGGGATCTCAGTACCTGCTTTTCAGGGCTATTGCAGGGGTGAGAATAATGTATGTAAAAGTACCTTAACACAGTGGGTGTCTGTAAATAGTAGCTAGTATTACTGTTCCAGGCAGAGGCTGTAAAACCTGAAAGGTGGAGGAGTATTTGGATATGGCAAAATCATCTACTAGGGGAAGCCTGATGGTGGAGAGCAGGGACCAGTGTGAAGTGCCTTGAATGCCAAGGGACAAATGTTTGGACTTGGTAACAGGGCAGTGGGAGGTGCCAGTGGCTTTTAAACAGGGGAGTCCCTGCCAGATGCCAGGCACCCTGCTAAATTCTACAGGTCTGGGTACTTTGTTCTTATCTGTATAATGGGGGTAAGGAGCAAAGGCATAAAATTACTTCTGGAGAGGGGTCCCCAATGGAGGCGCTAGGGCAGCATATGGGCCCTGACCCAGCCCGCATCAGAGAAGGCCTCCCTAAGAAAGCACCATATAAGCTGAGCCCCAAGGAGGAGTGGGAGGCAGCAGAAGGAGCGTGGGGCAGCATCCAGAAGGAGCTGCGTGCAGGGCAGGCCTGGAGGGAGGCCTGTGTATCACGGGAACGAGGGGGCGGCCCTGGGTTGGGGACGTGGCAGTGGAGAGCTCTATTTGGAAAGAGCTTTCAGAGGTGGCCCTGGGAACAGACCCGAGAGAGGCCGGAAGACACCACTGCGGAGGCTAAAGCTGGATCTGAAGCTAGGGAAGTTTATGGTCTGGGAGAAGGAGGGCTTCTCGGAGGAGGTGTCAGTAGCAAAAAGCTGGCAGACTGAGGCGACCAATCCGGGTCCCTGAGCTCCGGGACTGCGGGACCCAGCCCACAGGCCAAGTCCTACGTGCTCTGTGTACATTTAGCGCAAACCCCCTCCTTAGAGTTGCCTCGGTAGCTCCCGTACCTGGCGACTGCGGTCCTCCGCCCAGCCACATCCCAGGCTGTCCCCGCCCCCGACTGATGTCCCGTGCGTTTATTTGCATAACATACCCCGCCCCCTGTGGACCTAGCAGCCTCCCGCCCTCCAGCCCTTAGGGCGGCCCTGCGCCCCCTGCCGGCCACCGTGGCATCGCAGTCCAGTGCCACCCGCTCAGGCCCAGCGCTCTCTGTCGACCGAGGGCGGGCCACCTGGAGCCCCGAAGTTTCTGAAAAGCGGCTCTTCTAACCTGGTGCTACACTGGGAACCTTCGGCGTCTGGCACAAACTCCTTAGCTGGGCATCCCGGACCCTTCGCCATGTGGGCCCCGATGTCCTCCAACATCTCTCCTGACCCCCTGTATTCAGCCAGCCCCAGATTCTCGGTGCCCATTCAGAGCTGCTCTCTGCGAGGCCTTTGTGTACGAAAATTCCTCGGCCACCGAACGCTCCAGAGGAACTTGGTCAGGGACCGCTCCAATAGCCCCCTCTTCCGGGAAGCCTTCCCGGTTACTTCTTCCAGAACTCCCCAGCTCCCCACGCCTCCGCCGGCCCCACTCCGCCTCACCTCGGTGGGAGCGGTGATCGTCAGCGCACCTGCGGGTGTTTTTTAGACAAAGTTGGGGGTGGAGGGCTCCGACAGGCGCCCCTCACTCTCTGCCTTCCCAACCCGCCCTCTGCCCCCCAGGCCATTTACAAGATGGTTTCGTCCGTGATGAAGATGCCGGAGGACGAGTCAACCCCAGAAAAGAGGACCGAGAAAATCTTCCGCCAAATGGACACAAACAACGACGGTGAGGAGGCAGGGGCGGGCGCGGCGGGCACCACTCCCCCTTCCTATGCTGCAGCTCTGCTCGGCCACCCCTAGCTGCTGTTGCCTTCTCCCCCCAACACTGCCCCCCGCCTCGCCCCGCAGGCAAGCTGTCCCTGGAGGAGTTCATCCGCGGGGCCAAAAGCGACCCATCCATCGTGCGTCTGCTGCAGTGCGACCCCAGCAGCGCCTCCCAGTTCTGAGCAAGAGGAGCCAGGTTTCCCCTCCCTGCCTTCCCTGACCCTCTCCCGGCTCTCAGCTTCCTCGCCCTTGTGTCCATCCAGGCTGGGGGGCAGATGGCCACCCCCAGGGTCTGCACTCTTGGCGGGGGCTCTGGAGAATGGAACCCTGCCGTCCCCCCAAGGTCCAAGCTAGCAAGTGGTTAGCACCCTCGCCCCACCCCCCACCCATCCAGAAGGCAATATCTCCCTTCGGCAGTGATAGAGACAAGGGCTCTGGCCTGGTCTGCCCCTCAGAGTCAGCCCTCCCTTACCTAGATATCAGGACTTAAGCCCCTCTCCCCTCCCCTGTATCCCCCAGCCCCCAGCCAAGAGGCCAGACTTCCCTCCCCCAACCATGGGGCAAGCTCCCCCACCTCCACCCCCACCCTTGTAGATCTCAGCCTTGGTGGAGCTGGGAATCACACCCAGGTAAGGAGCTTGTCTTTTTATTTGGAGAGGAGAGAAGGATTCCAGAGGCCTGGGGGCTTGAGGAGAAACCATCCTTGAGCCATCCTTCCTGGCAGGAGGGCCTCAACCCCGCCTGCTCCTGCCCTTGCTGGCCTGGAGGCCCTGATGCAAGAGGGAAACCTCCTGTTTCCGGCCCCCCAGCTGTGAGGCCCAGGAACCCACGCTTGCGTTTTGGCATTCTGATGAACACAGACCCCTCTGTGTTATCTCTCAGATACACACACAGACCCACAGACAGACGGGCAGACACACCTGGAGCCCCCCACCCCAAAAGCGTCCTGTATGGAAAAGAACAGACCCCCCTGGCCGCACCCCTCCCCAGCTGCATGCGCCCACATGGAGCATCTCTGTTCTTTTTAATGACTTCAGAATAAAGTCTCCTTTCAGTGCAGTGGGCTGGGTGGCCGGAGAAGGGTGAAAACCTCACCCTGGTCTTGGAGTGGCCATTGAGCCCTCTTGGCTGGCTCCAGGAGTACTGGCCTGATCGCAGTGCGGACTTGGTTGCAGGGCCCCAGTGGCCACGGGGCCTGGATGAGACATCAGCTGTCAGAGGGTCATGGGCCCCGAGCTAGCGCGGGTTGGCAGGTCAGGGTCCTCCACGGGCTCTGGACTCTCCTCCATCTGTGGAGACACCAGAGGCTGCCAGGCCCGCTGGGGCTGGGTTTGGATGTCAGGACATCTAGGAAGTGGGAGGAGGGGAGGACTGGGGGGATCTTTGGGGTGAAGGGACACCATTACTCTCTACTATGCAAGAGGGAGGCCATACGCCTGCAGTGCCCCCAGTTCCAGTCCAGATCCCTCTCCTCCTGCTCAAGACTCATCCTGGGGCTCAGGAGAGCCAAGTGTCAGCTGTGTGACTTCGCTGGGAAAGCTGAGTTCTCCGAGCCTCTGTGTTCTCCCTTTTGTCCTGGGGGAGAAAACTGTTGCCCCAGTTTTCAAGGTGGGGGCTCTTTACGGAGGGGTGGGGGCAGATCAGTCTGAGCCCCCCAGCAGGGGCTCCCAGGGGGTATGAGGGAGTTTTCAGAGCTTGCCGAGGGCGCTGGGTAGTATGCCTTACCATGCGATGGCTGCTTTTCCCCAACCAGGGCCTCAGTTCCAGCAGCTGGTGGGCGAGCTGGGCTGTGCGGACAGCAAACACACTCTCTGCCACACAGAACAGTAACGAGATGCCCCAGAGACACAGGCTGGAGCTCTGCGGGGGACAAGGGGCAGAGATGGTCACCTGGGGTTGGGGAGTGGAGGGTGGGACTCCAAGAGCCCTACCCACCTCTGATGAGCCCCTGGTTGCTCCCCTCCCTCCCCCCAGCCCAGGCCTAAGCACTTACGTAAATGCGTGTAGGGTCGAAGGGACAGTCAGGTGCCAGCGCCAGGCGTTCGGGGCCCCCAAAAGTGCAGGCGGCCAGCAGTGCCCGGCCCTGAGTGGCAAAGGTCACGGCGATCGAAGCCAAGAGGCCGAGAGCACAGGTCAGAGAGAGAAGGGCACAGGCCACACTCAAGCTAAACACTGTCCAGCGCTAGATAGAGAAGACCACTGGTCAGTGGACATCAGGCCCAGTCCCCTGGGCAGCTCTAGCCCCTGTGGGGTCAGCCTTATGCCCTCCAAGCAGGCCAGATCTTTGGAGGTAGCTGCTGCCCTGACCCCCATAGCCCCATCCCAGGAGGTACCACATACCAGGGGGATGCTGGGGAGGTAGCGTGACAACACGATGACTGCAATGCCTGAGGTGATGACCTGCGGGGGAGACTCAGGTCAGCTCTGCCCCCCTCCCCTCGTCGGGGGAGAATGGGCAGGGGGTCCAGCCGCTCTCCAATGAAGAGTCCATCATCTCCAACTCTGGCCCTCCAAACCCCCACCCCTGCTCAGCTTTGGTCTCACTTCCTCCATCTGTTCAGGGGCGCTGTCTCTTCATGGTCCAGCCCCAAAGTGACGCTTCTAAGACACGGTCACTCGCTGCCGACAACCTTCCCTGACTCCCCACTGCCTATAGCTGTTTCTCAAACCTCTACATCCCAAGGGTCCTAGATGTATATCCCAAGGATATACATGACATGTCTCCCTGTAGTGGAAAAGGTTTTGGAAGAAACGAAGTAACTCAACTGGAAGTAATTCGACTGGCAAGGAACTGAAAAAACAACATTGTTATTTTAAAATAGACCAGGACACTTTATGGAGTAGAGTTCCAAATCCTTAGGAGTATGCTAAACTCTCCCAGGCTCTCAGTGACCTGGCCCTGGCCCATCAGTTTCTCAACTCCACTCTGGGCCAGGCTCTTCCCTCGTCACCCTGGATGTGGACACCCACGCAGGGCCTGATCTTGATGCCACCTACATAGCGCCTTCTCAGGAACGCCCTTCCGGCTTCTCTTGACCTGCTTGGGTCTCCCTCCTGCAGGTCTCCCTAAACACCCTTGGTCCCAATAGGCGGGGCAGCTCCACTAGTAAGCCCACCAGCTGCCTTCTGGATCTTTTGGGTTCCACTCAGCCAGACTCCCTCCTTCAGTCCCCTCACTTTATCAGGCCTGGGCTGGACCCACAGGAGGCAGCTTAGACTCTGGAGGGCCCAGTAATGCCTATAATTTGCTCTGCGGCCACAAGTAAGTGCCTCAGACTCTCTGGGCGAATCCTGCTCAGCAGAATGAGCCCCATGGAAAGGACACTGACTTTGGTGTTGGTCACGGGTTGTTTCACATCTAGGGTGGCTTCTTTGTATCAGCAGGAGGTTGAGTGAATCCCTGAGTCTCAGTTTCCCCATCTGTAAAGTGGGGATAAGAGTGGCCCTGTGTTGCAGGGAGCTGTGGGGATTACTTGAGGAAATGAGAGCACAGCTGAAGTAGTCCACTCCAGAGTCCATCTCTGGTGGACCTTCAACCCTGAGCTCACTGCCTTCCCTGCCTTCCTCACAAAGCTGGTCAGAGGAACAAAGAACAATAACAGGACAGAGCACATATCTGCAGAGCCTAGCTCTATCCCACTGACAGAGGCTCCTCTACTTGCTGGGGCCTCTGATCCTCGCTTATGCAAGGCTTGGGGCCAGCGAGCTGTCTGAGCTTCACTTTGCAGGGGAGGGAGCAGGCTTAGAAGGAGAAAGAAGTCCCTCAGCCAGGAGGTGGCAGGGATGGAACTCAGACACGGATGTGACAATGTTCCCCAAAGGCTGCCGACAGCTGGGAAAAGGTTTTGTGAACTTGAGAATACCAGACCCCTTCATTCTTGTATTCATCAGCCAGGTACTGACATCCGGTCATAACCATGGCTTCTATTTATTGAGCCCATATCATAGTCCAGGGCTTCCCTGATGGCTATGCCTGCAGAATCTGTCTGCAGTTCCGGAGACCTGGGTTCAATCTCTGGGTGGGGAAGATCCCCTGGAGAAGGGAATGGCAACCCACTCCAGTATGTTTGTTTGTAGAATCTCATGGACAGAGGACCTGGCAGGCTACAGTCCGTAGGGTCACAAAGAATCGGGCACAACTGAGCGACTAACAGTTTCATTTTTACTTCATCATGAAGGAGTGGGTAGCTATTCTCTTCTTCAGGGTATTTCCCAACCCAGGAATCGAACCCAGGTCTCTTGCATTGCAGGCAGATTCTTTACTGTCTGAACCACCAGGGCAGCCTGCTTTATGATAGTCCAGGCCTAATGCTAAAGCTCCTGCTGAACTGGCTTTCTCAGTGTCTCCAGAGGAGACCATATCTATTCTCACCTCCACACCTTTGCATCTGCCGTCCTCTGTACTTGAAATTCCATCCCAGTTTCCTCTCCTACCCGCTGCCCCAGCAGGCTTCCTACCCGGGTTATGGTAACTGTAGCATATCATCTTTGAACTCCTGTTCATCCATCAATACCCACCTCAGGGGCCTCCACCTCTGTGAACACTCCCAAGCTGAGTTGATGCTCCTTCCTTCTTCTGTCCAACGGTGCCTTGACTATTCCCCTGTTGCTATAATAATCCTTGCTTGAAGTAGTGAGGGCTAACTATGTACCAGGCACTGTGTTCAGGACTTTATGTGGATGATCACATTCAGTACTCCTCAGGACCCTCTCAGATGGACAGTGTTACCACCCCCATTTTATAGACGAGGAAGCTGAGGCAAAGAGCTTGGGTGACTGGTCTGGTTGGTAGTGGTGGAACAGGGGTGAGTGCTCAGGGTTCTCTGCCTGCCCACCCCAGGCTGTGGGTGGGGACTCATCAAAGACCCTGCCAGCCCCTGCCAGCCCCCTCCTGCCAGTCATCCTTCCAGCCTGGCCATACCACGATGGCAGAAGTGACAGAGAGGATGTCGACCACGCAGTACTGCAGAGCCACAGCATCACTGGGGGCAGCCACGTAGCGCAGCACGGTGCCGTGGAGGAGAGCGGCTGCGATGAAGCTCACGTGGCCCAGCACGACCAGCACCAGCCCCGTCTTCATCAGTACCTTCCGGAAGTCACCCACGCTCAGGCCACCTGGGAGGGACAGCCACATCAGGGCCATGGGTGGGACTCATTCCGCTGGCAGAGGAGGAAACTGAGGCCCCGGCAGGAGTGATGGACATTAGGTTCTAAATCTATTTCTGGATGATTCAGGGCCAGTAATTTGTCTTCTCTGAGTCTCAGTTTCCTGATCAGGAAAAGGGGTTCACGTTACTTTCATGGGAGTCCTTGGATCACTAAGGTTGGAAAAGCATACAGGTGGTACTTAATAATAAGGGGTAATAGTCTTTGTTAGTGTTCAGGGTCATGAGTGGCACAGTCAGGATTTGAACCCAGGTGTCTAGCTCTAAAGCCATAATCCTCTAAGCTCTGCATCCCCTGATTTTTTTCACCCTGCATTTGTTACATCAATGTTCACTGAGTCCCTGTTCCATGCCAGGCCCCGAGGCACCATAGAGAGTTTGATGGTCCCTGGTCTAGACACCAGGGAGCCCCCAGTTCACTGGGCGGGGGTCAGGTACTATGCAGGACTCAGTTTGGTGGCTAGGACCTGGCACACAGTAGGGATTCAGCTCACAATTGCTGAACAGACTCAGGGCAAGAAACTCAAGCTTCTGAGTCTCCATTTCCCCATCTGCAAAATGGGAAGAATAACCCTTGTTTCCCAGTGGCGAAAGAGGGTCCCCATGAGAAGACAGATGGGAAAGGAGGGCATACCCTGGGTTCTAGGACACTGGGCAGGGACGCAGAACGGCAGGGAGGCTGGGGTCAAAAGGACATCATATGCAAATCCGATCTGAGTGTCCACCAGTGGCTGCTCAGCTCCTATCTGCACACCCCCAGCACCAGGGAGCCCTCCTCCTGGCTGTTCCAGATAGCTGATGCCTGGCTCTGCATATGATGGCCCCTGGACCCACCAGCCCATTCACTCTAGCCAGCTCTGTGAAACTGAAAGACTGGTCTGGTCCCTAGAACAAGCCCCGCTTCCTCCTTTAGCTGCTCCTTGTGGAGCCTCTGAGTCCCTTTCCAAACCTCCACGTCCCCATCGGTGGCAGAAAGGAGGATTGGGTCATGTTTCATATATGGGGGTTTTGCAGCAAGAAAGAAAAAAAGGAAAGGCGGGAGGGTAGGAAGGGAGGAATCCCTAGATTGGATGTTCTTGGGGGCCCTGTGCCAAGAGGAGGCCCCCAGGGAGCAGGGGGGGCTGGAGCTACTCAGTCACAGCCCCTCTTCATGACCCCCCACCAGCCTCTCTCCTTTCTGGGCCCCAGTTTCTTTCCCCAGAGGTAGAATGGGAAGGGGTTGGCCTAGCAGGCTTCTGAGACCCCTGCAGCCTGCAGGACACTCTGGAGCTGTACCAGATCTAGGAGAAGCAGAGGGCAGATAACAGGCGGGACAGCCACTGTGAGACTGGATGGTGTCATGAAGATTAAGTGCTGGTCAAACAGGAAGGGGCATGGCAGCCTTGTCCCAGGAGTCTGACCCACTTCACCTGGTCCACCCACCTCCCTGGCCACCCAGACACACCAAGTGGGCTCATGAGCAACAGCATCCCAGGACCAAGACTTGGTCAAATCGGAGGTACAGTGCCAGCATGGAACTGTGCTTGGATCACTGGACAGAGTCTCGGGGCAGTCCTTCCGCTCAGGAAGGTTCTAGGAGGGGGTGCTACCCTCACCACTTTACAGAAGAGGAAACCAAGGCTCGAAAGTTCTCTCGGTTAGAGAGTAGGGATTCCCCGGATCTGTCCTATGCCGGCGAGCAGCATCACTGTGTCCAGCGAGTGAGGGGAGGGGACCCGTCTGTCTCACTCCTCTGTCTGGATCTGGAGAGCAGAGGGTAGGGAAGCCAGAGCCCTTTGCGAGGCTAAGAGAGCCAAGGGCAGGCAGCCAAGGGCTCAGAACTCCTTGGGCTCTGGATACCCCTCCCTCCACTCTGGCTTCTGGGGAGCGGGCGCTGCTTTCCTCCCATGGTGGGGTGGGGGTGCGGGGTCCCTCCTCCGCAAGAAAGGATGCGGCGCAAGCGGGCAGGGTGCGACTCCACCTCGGGAAGATACCAGCAGCCCGCCTCTCGCCAGCTCAGTGCGGGGAAACTGAGGCCCAGAGCAGAAAGTGACCCGCAGAGAAGGTGGCCCGGACCGCGGGGGTTCCGGGCACCCACTACAGTGCTCCGCCCCTGCGGGAGGATTTGGGGCGGGGTCGGGTCTCCCGGGCGGTCCCCCGACCCCCTACCCGCACCCCCGGCTCTCACCCAGGCGCAGACACATCTCGGCTCCGACGCCGCGTCTCCGCGGCACCTTCAGCGGGGCTCCATCCCGGGCCGCAGACGCCGCGCGCCCTGCAGAGCCCGCGCTGCGCCTACTTCCCGCCCGGAGCCCCGAGCTCCCGGCGCCCGGCCGGCCTCCCTTCCCGTCATCCCCCGGGCGGCCCGGCCCCGGGAGAACCCCGGCGCCTCATTTACATCCTGGGCCGGTCCGACCGGCTGGACAGCCCTTCAAAGGCCCGCCCGGCTGATTCATAGCGTTGGCCCCACCCACCTGCGCCGGCCTCGGATGCCGGCCAGCGCCCGGCCACCGACTCCTCTAGCCCACCCCACTCCAGGGATGCCCATTTTACAGATGGAAACTGAGGCCTAGAGGAGCTGCGATCGTCTAGGCTAGGGAGTGAGATGGGGGCCTGATGCATGGTTGTCCTGACGGGTGGTCACATGGACAGGAAAGCCCCTGGGTGAAGGCTGGGAATCCACTTCTTTCTATAGGGTGGGGAAACGGTGAGAGATGAAAGAGAACTACCTAGAGAATCGGGGAGTGACCTCGACCTGCTGCGAGACCGCAAGTAAATCACATTTCCTGCTGCCTCGGCCTGGGATCCTTCTGTGCCCCACACTGAACAAGGCACTTTACTTGTGGGGTGTGGTTGTTGGGGTGTCTCTGTTCTCTTCTCAGAAAGTCCGGGATAATAATTCTTGTCCCCTAAAATCGTGAAAGTGAAGTGAAAGTAACTCAGTCATGTCCGACTCTTTGTGTCCTGATGGAGTGCAGCCTGCCAGGCTCCTCTGTCCATGGAATTTTCCAGGCTAGAGTACTGGAGTGGGTAGCCATTCCTTTCTCCAGAGGATCTTCCCTACCCAGGGATCAAACTTGGGTCTCCTGCACTGCAGGCAGATTCTTTACCATGGGAGCCACCAGGGAAGCCCTGAGTTGTGGAGAAGTACAAAAAAGGGGTGAGAAAGTGCTTTGAAAACCCTCCAGAGTATGTTTACAGACAAAGTGCAGAGCTAGCAGGAGCACATAATAGGAGTTGTACTATTCCTGACTGCTGGTTACTGTGCCTCTTCAGTGTACCAGGATGACCCGAGTCCTCCTTTCCTTCATCCTCAACATGTAGAAATGGACTCAAGCAAGAGCGTCCAGGGGAAGTGGGGGAGTAGAGGGTCTTTGTTCTCATATTCTCAAATGTGGCGGGGCTGTGGCTGCCTGCCTGTGCTCTCAGCCCTCAGGCAGGCCTCTGGGGAGGCACTTTTATGGTCTCCAGGCAGCATCAGTTCACCTCACCCCTCTGGTCAGTGGCCTTGAGGGCAGGAGCTGGCTTGATGCATCTAACACCAGCTATCTGCTGATGCCGGTGCCTTGTGTCCAGGGCACACAGTTTACAGATGACCAAGTCCATCTCCCAGGGGCTGCCTTGGAGAGGGCGTGTGATCACTGCAAAGCCAATGTCAAATCTCACTCGTGTGCATGTATGTGGTTCCCTATCCGTATTAGGCAGTTCCCTTGACACTGAGCCCATTTGGGGCGGTCTGGAATGAGGCTGGGGACCCAGACGTTTTAAATGTCATTGCTTACAAATGAATAAAAGAGAATTCTCTCTTTCTAACTTAGAGCAAAACTGAGAGTTAAATATTATTACTCCATTTTACAGATGAGAAAATTGAGCCGCAGAAAGGTAAAGTGGCTTTTCAAATAGCACACATCTATGAATGGTAGAACTGAGACTTGAATCCAGATCTATGTAACTCTGAAGCCTGCTTCTGAGTGAAGTGGGGGATGAGAAGGCATAGTCTCCAGGGAGTGGGCCTGCTCTCTGGGACCTCTGAGGAGGGAACCACCCACCTTTTGCTCCTCTGACCCAGTTTCTTGGCCATGGCCCAGCCTTAGCCGCCTGAAGTTATAACCACTTCTCTTCCTTATTGCCAAGCGGCCAAAGTTCATTCATCTGAGTTGTCCAGTGTCCCTTGCCTGTGCCCCACCCTTCTGCACACTGGCCTAGGTTTCTGGGGTTCTGGGAAGAAGCCTAGACTAGAGCGCTAGCCCCTTGTGCTCCACCAACTCACTATGACACTCTGGGAGCTCACTGTCCTCCAAGCCTCAGTTTCCCCATCTGTCAAATGGAGATAGTGATAACCTTCTCAGATTTCTGAGGGGTAAAATGACTTGAGAGATATGAGAGTGGGTTGAAACCTAGCCAGAGAAATACAAATAGAAATTCTCTCTCTTCCTAGAACATTTAACAACCAGGTGTGGCCCAGTACACTCAAATTGGACTCTGGGTCCTTCCCATAGGGCTGCTCAGCTGGGAAGGGGTTCAGGCTTCCAGTCCCTGAGTGAGTCCTCTTCATCTTAGCAAGGCGTTTCCCTCCCTGATTATTAGAACAGTTCCTGCCTGTAAGTAGAACGATCACACACACACCCTACCATATTCAGTTTTGTGTGTGTACACACACATAAAACAAAAAGCCAAGTGATCAAGCTTGTCTGAGAGAAGGTGGTTGAAGGGGACTTAGGCATGTTTACAATGACCAAGTCTACATGGTGTGAATGAGGGATTTGTTATTCTGTGTAGTTTTTCTAGCTTTTACCTTTCTGTTTATCTTGTTTATATATTCATTTATTTTTAGACCATCCCGAGTTCACGTGGGATCTTAATTCACCAGTCAGGGATCAAACATCACCCCCTGCCCCCGCCCTCCCCGCACTGGATGTATGGAGTCTTAACCACTAGAGATTTTTTAAAAAGCTTATTTGTAGAAAACTTAGAGGAAAAATGGGGAAATATAAATAAAAAAGTGGAGCTACTCATAACCCTCTCTGCCCCCACAGATAACCATGGCTCACATTTTGGAGGGTTTTCTCCTGAGCGCCTATGTAATTTTCTCCTTCTCTGTGACTTCTGTCCCCTGTCTCTACTCTGCCTCCCCTCTCATCGCCTTGGTCTGTTGCCCTCCGTGTCACCCACTTCTGTCTATCAAGGACTTGGGTTTCCAGATCTAAGTCTGGCAATCATTCCTCATGTCCTGCTCATCCATGTGAAGGACCCTCTAATACCCTCCCTTGACCTTCATCATGACCCCAGTTATTCTCTCCAGGTTCAGGTTTTGAATGGTCCCTTTTGAAATCCCAGCCTCGAGCATCCCACAAAAGCCTGTCTTGCATCTTATGTCTTTTGACTCCCATGGCCTAGTACTCTGACCTTCCAGAGGCCACTGGCCCATTCTATTTTCTTCTGTTCAATTAACCACCTCCTGACCTCTTCGCACCAAACTTACATCACAAGGTTGAGCATCTAACGGCCAGCTCAGCTGTCCAGGTGAGAAATGAGAAGTATAGGAGACTTGGACTGGGACCAGGATGGTGACTGTGAAGACGGAGAGAAGAGGGGAGAATTAAGATTTATGATTCGGATGCATGTTAAAATTTGAAAAGCACTGTTCTGAATCCACTCGCCTTATTCCTTCTCTCAGTCACTCCTCCAGCTCCACATGGACCACACTTCATCTCTCATCCTCTTCATTTCTGCCAAGTCTTTCCCATCAGCCAATAAACATACCCAAGTCTCTTCTATCCTAAAAAAACACATGTTCCTTTGGCTCCCTTTACATTTCTAGTTACTGCTTTTTAACTTTCTCTCCCTTCCTCTCCAAACTTCTGGAGTGAATTATATTTACATGCTGTTTCCATCTTCTCAACTCCCATCTCCTCCTCAATCCACAGCAGTGCGATTCAGCCCACCCCTGGAAGAGGCCTCATCTAGGTCACCAGTGACTGCTGACCACACTGAATCCAGTGAAACAGTTCAGTCCCTAACTTACTGTTATCAGTCACTCTCTCCATACTCTTGTTACGCACCTCCTCCCTGGATTTCTTCCTACCTCTGGTATTCCTTCTCAGTCTCCATTTTGGACTTTTTGTCATCAGCTCAACTCTTAAATACTGGTATTCTTTTGTATCCTTTCTACTTCCTTTATGGGTCCCATTGGTTATTTCATGTAGTCTCATGGCTCCCCTTTTATTTGATGATTCTCCCAGACCAGAGAGCTTCCTTGAGGATCAGACTTAAATATCCAGTGATTATACCTCTCCACCTGGATGTCCAGTCACCTCATGCTGAACATGTACCAGCTTTCCCCCGAAACTGCTTCTTGTGTTTTCCATTTCCGTAGGTGGCATCACAATGGACGCAAGCCAAAAACCCGGGAGTCTTTCTCTACGCTTTCCTCTCTTTCTATGTAAGTCAATTGTCAAGTCCTGCCGATTTACATCATAGATATTTCCGTAACTAGTGCTTTCTCCTTGTCTCTGCTACTACTGTCCTTGTTCAAGCAGCATTTCTCCCCCCCCAGCTGGTTTTTCATACTACTGAGTAATCTTCCTGAAGTATAAATCAGATCACATCACTCTTCTTCTTTTTTAGGATTTGGAAAGATCCAGTCTGTTTGTTTTTTCTTGGTAGGTTTTACTTATTTATTTTATTTTTGGCTGTGCTGGGTCTTTGTTGCTGTTTGGGCTTTTTTTCAATAATTGTGTCTAGCGGGGGGCTACTCTCCAGTTGTGGTGTGCCGGCTTCTCATTGCAGTGGCTTCTCTTGTTTGGAAGCACGGGCTCTAGCTTGCACAGGCTTCAACGGTTACAGCACGTGGGTTCAGTGGTTGCAGCCCCCAGGCTCTAGAGCACTGGCTCAGTAGTGGTGGCACATGGGCTTAGTTGCCGCTCCACATGTGGGATCTCCCTGACCAGGGATCGAACCCGTGTCTCCTGCATTGGCAGGCAGATTCTTTACCACTGAGCTACCAGGGAAGCCTGATCATGTCACTCTTCTGCTTAAAATCAGTAACATAAAAGAAATTAATTAAGACAAATAAATGGAAAGACTTCCGCATCCATGGATTGTAAGCCTTAATATTATTAGGATAGCAATTCTCTCCAAACTGATCTACAGATTCATTTCAATCTCTCTCAAAATCAAAGTTGCCGCTTTTTCTTTTTTTTTTGCAGAAATTGACAAGCTGATCCTAAAATTCATATGGAAATGCAGAAGTCTGGAATAAGCCAAAATATCTTGAAAAAGAAACAAATTGGAGGAATCACATATTTCAGTTTCAAATTTTACTATTATATAAAGCTAGAGTAATCAACACAATGTAGTGCTGGCATAAGACACAATAATTCAACCAAATAGAATTGAGAGACCAAAAATAAAGACGCTAAAAATAAAACAGGAATAAAAATACACACGGCTGGCTAATTTTTGACAAGGGTACCAAGATGATTCAAGGTAGACAAAAATGTGTTTTCAACAAATAAAGCTGGGACAACTGTGTATCCATGTACAAATGAACTCCTACCTTGTACCACATGCA